AAATTTGCAGGCAGTTCTAACCCCCGACCATGACCCCCCCCGACCCCTGACCCCGACCATGACCCCCGACCCCTGACCGTGACCCCCGACCCCTGACCCCCGACCATGACCCCCCGACCCCCGACCATGACCCCCGACCATGACCCCTGACCCCCGACCTGACCCCCGACCCCCTGACCCCCCGACCCCTGACCCCCGACCATGACCCTCCAGACAAACACAAATGTTAAGTCCAGCAGCAGAGAAACGGCAGCAGCAAAAGCAACATTTAAGAGTCAGTGTGAATGAACATGAAAAGAAACATGAGTGATTTTAGATGCAGGACAAACAGGATTATTTACAGTTCAAGTGCATTTATAGAGTTTAAAGTGTTTAAGGAGTTTAAAGTGTTTGAAGTGTTTGAAGAGGACAACTGAAAGCACCCGCACAAGTAACCACAAGAGGGCAGCACAGGGATTTAATGTGGACACTATTGATTTCCTCATGAAATTTTTTTTTAAGTGAAAATTAAATGTGTGAATTTGGATGCTGCTCCACCCCTCAAAGCTCTGATGGAGAAACAGATTTTTTTTTTTGAATTTTCAGTACAAAACACTGCTTTTATTTCAGTTTATTTCAAGTTTATTCAAATATTTCTTCATTAAAACTTTGTCTTCTTCCAAAATCAACAAAACAATTAAATTTAATTTAATTAAACAAAACACAGATAACGATCACACGCCACATCCTCATTGGTCCATTCGTCAGGCGGCTGAAGGGGGCGGGGCTTGTGTCAGACGATGGCGCGAACACTTCCTGTCCCCACCTTCTTCCTCAGAACCTCCACCAGACGCTCAAGCCTGAAGAAGAGAAACATCATGACTCCAGCCTGAAAAGACTTTAAAATTATATCCACACACACTCAAACCCACATCAGATCTCAATGTGAAAATAAAAATCTGTTAGAGTCCAGGTGTTCTACAGCTCCAGACTCTCAGTGATCCGTGTGTGGGATTAAGTCAGAGTCGTTCTGTAATCGATTCAGGCGGCGCACAGGTTGGTCTGACAGGTTCTGCAGTCACGGGCGACTGTTCAGTCCAGGAGTTGGTGTTTTTGCCGATGCCCTTCTGTGCTGCGCTCATGTATCGATCCATGTGCCGTTTATCTCAGCCACGCTGATGCCTGACATGAGCTTCCATGTTGTGGAGAGACAGGTTATCGGCCGATAGTTGGATGGGGCTGCACCCTTTGAGGGATCCTTCAGGACCAGGATCATATGTCCTTGGGTGAGTCCCATCCCTTAGCAGCTGGTTCTTTTGTGGTGCCAGGCGCTCGTGGAGAGCAGTGAGCTTCTTTAGCCAGTTTGTGTGGATCATGTCAGGGCCTGGTCCAGTTTTTCATACCTGAGACTCTCTCCTGGACATGTCCACTGTGATGGTGACTGGATTCTGTTCAGGGAGGTTGCTGTGGTCTTCTCTCAGATCCAACAGCCACTGTGCATCGGTGTTATGTGATGCCTCCCTCTCCCATGTGCCTTTCCAGTACCTTTCAGTCTCCAGCCTTGGTGGGTCTGCTCTGCTGTTGTGCCGATGAGCGTACACTTTCACAGGTTGTGTTGCGGACAGACGGTTTATTTGTCTGGCTTCGTTATCTCGTGTGTACCTCTTTAGACTTTAGGCTTGGAGCCTTGGCCAGTTTGTCTGGCAGTTTTGAGTGCTTCAGGTCGGGCATCTGACTGTACCGCTTGAGTACTTGTGTTTTCATTGCACCTTTCTGGGCCCTAACCCTAACTTCTCTCCACGCCTCCTTGATTTTCACCTCTTACTGTCTTTTCCATGGTGGCTCTTGTTTCTCGTGGCTCCCGTGCCTCCAGTGGCTCTTATGGAGCAGCACCTGTAGGATCAGTGCTGCTGAAGTGTAGATCGGCTCGTTGGTGTCAGTGGCGTTGTGGTTGGTTCACTCTCTGTGCTCCGTTTGTCTTCTAAGAGACTTTGGGCCGTTCACTTGGACTGTGTTTTAATCTTGTGTTTAATTGGTTTAATCTGAGGTCATGTGACTCACCTCCGTGCTCTCTCATTGGCTTGGACAAGCTCCGCCTCCGCGCTCTTCTTCTGCTGTGACATCATCACCAGCTGCTGCTTAAGGGCGGTGACATCATCAGGGAGCGCCGCGGCGGCCTCGTCAGCGGGGGGCGGGGCTTCTGAGGGGCTAAAGGAGAGTCGGCGTGAGCGCGTGTGTAAATATAACACGTTACCATAGTGCCAGACTCTGACCTGTGATTGGCTCTGAGCTCCTGAAGCTCCGCCTCCAGACGCTGTCGCTCGCCCACAGCGGTGTCTCTCTCTCTCTGCAGTGCAACAAGCTCCGCCTTAAAGGGGGCGGGGCACAGTCAGTGACACAAAAACAGCAGCAGGCGGAGCTAAAGTCTGACCTCTGACCCTAAACCGGGTCAGGGGTCAGAGTGAAGTTTTATTATGGGACATTTTTTTGCTTTGTAACTATGGCTGTCACAATAAGCACAAAATTAATCACCGCGGAGCTAAGAGGCCCACGGCGATCACCGCACCAACGTGACCAACGTGACCAACGTGACCAACGTGACCAACGTGATCAACGTGACCAACGTGACCAACGTGACCAACGTGACCAACGTGACCAACGTGACCAACGTGTGACCAACACCAACGTAACGTGCACCAAAAACGTGACCAACGTAACGTCGTGACCAACGTGACCAACGTGCCAACCCAACGTGACCAACGTGACCAACGTGACCAACGTGACCAACCGTGACCAACGTGACGTGACCAACTGACCAACGTGAACCAAACCCAACGTGACCGACCAACGTGACCAACGTGACCGTGAAACGTGACCAACGTGACCAACGTGACCAACGGTGACGTGACCAACGTGAACCACGTGGTGACCAACGTGACGTGACCAACGTGACCAAACGTGACCAACGTGACCAACGTGACCAATGACAACGTGACCAACGTGACCAAACGTGACCAACGTGACCAACGTGACCAACGTGACAAAAGTGACCAACGTGACCAACGTGACCAACGTGAACCAACGTGACCAACGTGACCAACGTGACGTGACCAACGTGACCAACGTGACCAACGTGACCAACGTGACCAACGTGACCAACGGACCAACGTGACCACGTCGTGACCAACGTGACCAACGTGCGTGACCAACGTGACCACGTGACCAACGTGATCAACGTGACCAACGTGACCAACGTGACAACACCAACGGACCAACGTGCGTGACCAATGTGACCAACGTGACGTCAACGTGAACCAACGTGACCAACGTGAACCAACGTGAAACGTGACCAACGTGACCAACGTGACCAACGTGACCAACGTGAACGTGTACCAACGTGACGTGACCAACGTGACAACCAGTGACCAAACCAACGTGACCAACGTGACCAACGTGACCAACGTGACCAACGTGACCAACGTGACCAACGTGACCAACGTGACCAACGTGACCAACGTGACCAACGTGACCACCGCACCAACGTGACCAACGTGACCAATGCACCAACGTGACCAACGTGACCAACGTGACCCGTGACCAACGTGACGTACCAACGTGACCAACCCAACGTGACCAACGTGACCAACGTGACCAACGTGACCACGTGAACGTGACCAACGTGACCCAACGTGACGTGACCAACGTGACGTGATCAACGTGCAACGTGACCAACGTGACCAACGTGACCAACGTGACCAACGTGACCAACGTGACCAACGTGACCAACGTGACCAACGTGACCAAACGTGACCAACGTGACCAACGTGACCAACGTGACCAACGTGACCAACGTGAACCAACGTGACCAACGCAACGTGACCAACGTGACCAACGTGACCAACCGTGACCAACGTGACCAACGTGACCAACGTGACCAACGTGACCAACGTGACAACGTGACCAACGTGACCAATGTGACCAACGTGATCACCGCACCAACGTGACCAACGTGATCAACGTGACCAACGTGACCAACGTGACCAAAGTGACCAACGTGACCAACGTGACCAACGTGACCAACGTGACAACGTGACCAACGTGACCAACGTGACCAACGTGACCAACGTGACCAACGTGACCAAAGTGACCAACGTGACCAACGTGACCACGTGACCAACGTGACCAACGTGACCAAGTGACCAACGTGACGTGACCAACGTGACCAACGTGACCAACGTGACCAAGTGACCAAAGTGACCAACGTGACCAAACGTGACCAAACGTGACCAACGTGACCAACGTGTCAACCAACGTGACCAACGTGACCAACGTGACCAACGTGACCAACGTGACCAAACGTGACCAAACGTGACAACGTGACAACGTGACCAACGTGACCAACGTGACCAACAAAAGTGACCAAACGTGACCAACGTGACCAAACGTGACCAACGTGACCAACGTGACCAACGTGACCAACGTGACCAACGTGACCAATACGTGACCAACGTGACGTGACCAACGTGACCAACGTGACCAACGTGACCAACTGTGACCAACGTGACCAACGTGACCAACGTGGCACCAACGCGTGACCAACGTGACCAACCGTGAACCAAACAACGTGACCAACGTGACCAACGTGACCAATCAACGCAACGTGACGTGACCAACGTGACCAACGTGACCAAAGTGACCAACGTGACCAACGTGACCAACGTGACCAACGTGACCAACGTGACCAACGTGACCAACCAACGTTGACCAAGTGACCAACGTGACCAACGTGACCAACGTGACCAACGTGACCAACGTGATCACCGCACCAACGTGACCAACGTGACCAACGTGACGTGACCAACGTGACAACGTGACCAACGTGTGTGACCAACGTGACCAACGTGACCAACGTGACCAACGTGACCAAAGTGACAGACGTGACCAACGTGACCAACGTGACCAACGTGACCAACGTGACCAACCCAACGTGACCAACGTGACCAACGTGACCAACGTGATCAACGTGACCAACGTGACCAACGTGACCAACGCACCAACGTGACCAACGTGATCAACGTGATCAATGTGACCAACGTGATGTGACCAACGTGACCAACCAACGTGACCAACGTGACCAACGTGACCAACGTGACCAACGTGACCAACGTGACCAAAGTGACCAACGTGACCAACGTGACCAACGTGACCAACGTGACCAACGTGACCAACGTGACCAACGTGACGTGACCAACGTGACCAACGTGACCAACGTGACCAACGTGACCAACGTTGACCCGTGCAACGTGACCAACGTGATCAACGTGACGTGATCAACGTGACCAACGTGGACCAACGTGACCAACGTGACCAACGTGACCAACGTACCAACGCACCAACGTGACCAACGTGACCAACGTGACCAACGTGACCAACGACCAACGTGACCAACGTGATCAACGTGATCAATGTGACCAACGTGACCAACGTGACCAACGTGACCAACGTGACCAACGTGTCAACGTGATGACCAACGTGACCAACGTGATCAATGTGACCAACGTGATCAATCAACGTGACCAACGTGACCAACGTGACCAAAGCACCAACGTGACCAACGTGACCAACCAATGTGACCAACGTGACCAACGTGCCAACGTGACCAACGCGTCAACGTGCACAACGTGACCACGTGACAATGTGACCAACGTGACCAACGTACCAACGTGACCAACGTGACCAACGTGACCAACGTGACCAACGTGACCAACGTGACCAACGTGATCAACAACGTGACCAACGTGATCAACGTGATCAACGTGACCAACGTGTGACCAACGTGATCACCGCACCAACGTGACCAACGTGACCAACCAACGTGCACCAACGTGACCAACCAACGTGACCAACGTGATCAACGTGACCAACGTGACCAACGTGCACCAACGTGACCAACGTGACCAACGTGACCAACGTGACCAACGTGACCAACGTGACCAACGTGACCAACGTGACCAACGTGACCAACCAACGTGACCAACGTGATCAACGTGACCAACGTGACCAACGTGACCAACGTGACCAACGTGACGTGACCAACGTGACCAACGCACCAACGTGACCAACGTGACCAACGTGACCAACGTGACCAACGTGCACCAACGTGACCAACGTGACCAACGCACCAACGTGACCAACGTGACCAACGTGACCAACGTGACCAACGTGACCAACGTGACCAACGTGACCAACGTGACCAACGTGATCACCGCACCTAGGACTAACATAGGACTAACCCAGAACTAACCAAGAACTAACCCAGGACTAACTCAAGATTAACCCAGGACTAACCCAGGCTTCACCCAGGACTAACCCAGGACTAAGGTGTGCCGCGTAGACTGTCAGGTGACCGTAGGCAAAAGGAGCTTAGTGCGTTTGTTGCCCGATCGCGCTTTGAGGACACGACCTGGTGCAAGGGTCAGAGGGTCAGAGGAACTCAGGTCTCCTGGTTTAGACCTGGTTTACTCCTGGTCTAGTCCTGGTTTACTCCTGGTCTAGTCCTGGTTTAGACCTGGTTTAGTCCTGGTTTAGACCTGGTTTAGTCCTGGTTTAGACCTGGTTTAGTCCTGGTTTAGACCTGGTTTAGTCCTGGTTTAGTCCTGGTTTAGTCCTGGTTTAGTCCTGGTTTAGTCCTGGTTTAGTCCTGGTTTAGTCCTGGTTTTTAGTCCTGGTTTAGTCCTGGTTTTAGTCCTGGTTTAGTCCAGGTCCTGGTTTAGTGGTTTAGTCCTGGTTTAGTCCTGTTTAGTCCTGGTTTAGTCCTGGTTTAGTCCTGGTTTAGTCCTGGTTTAGTCCTGGTTTAGTCCTGGTTTAGTCCTGGTTTAGTCCTGGTTTAGTCCTGGTTTAGTCCTGGTTTAGTCCTGGTTTAGTCCTGGTCCCGTGGAGTCCTGGTTTAGTCCTGGTTTAGTCCTGGGTTTAGTCCTGGTTTAGTCCTGGTTTAGTCCTGGTTTAGTCCTGGTCCCGTGGAGTCCTGGTTTAGTCCTGGTTTAGTCCTGGTTTAGTCCTGGTTTAGTCCTGGTCCTGGAGTCCTGGTTTAGTCCTGGTTTAGTCCTGGTCCCGTGGAGTCCTGGTTTAGTCCTGGTTTAGTCCTGGTCCTGTGGAGTCCTGGTTTAGTCCTGGTTTAGTCCTGGTCCCGTGGAGTCCTGGTTTAGTCCTGGTTTAGTCCTGGTTTAGTCCTGGTTTAGTCCTGGTTTAGTTTAGTCCTGGTTTAGTCCTGGTTTAGTCCTGGTCCTGGAGTCCTGTTTAGTCCTGGTTTAGTCCTGGTTTAGTCCTGGTTTAGTCCTGGTCCTGTTGAGTCCTGGTTTAGTCCTGGTTTAGTCCTGGTTTAGTCCTGGTTTAGTCCTGGTTTAGTCCTGGTCCCGTGGAGTCCTGGTTTAGTCCTGGTTTAGTCCTGGTTTAGTCCTGGTTTAGTCCTGGTTTAGTCCTGGTCCTGTGGAGTCCTGGTTTAGTCCTGGTTTAGTCCTGGTTTAGTCCTGGTCCTGTGGAGTCCTGGTTTAGTCCTGGTTTAGTCCTGGTCCTGGTTTAGTCCTGGTTTAGTCCTGGTTTAGTCCTGGTTTGGTTTTAGTCCTGGTTTAGTTAGTTTAGTCCTGGTTTAGTCCTGGTTTAGTCCTGGTCCTGTGGAGTCCTGGTTTAGTCCTGGTTTAGTCCTGGTTTAGTCCTGTCCTGGTTTAGTCCTGGTTTAGTCCTGGTTTAGTCCTGGTTTAGTCCTGGTTTAGTCCTGGTCCTTTGGAGTCCTGGTTTAGTCCTGGTTTAGTCCTGGTTTAGTCCTGGTTTAGTCCTGGTTAGTCCTGGTTTAGTCCTGGTTTAGTCCTGGTTTTAGTCCTGTTTGTTTAGTCCTGGTTTAGTCTGGTTTAGTCCTGGTCCGTGGAGTCCTGGTTTAGTCCTGGTTTAGTCCTGGTTTAGTCCTGGTTTAGTCCTGTTTAGTCCGTAGTCCTGGTTTAGTCCTGGTTTAGTCCTGGTTTAGTCCTGGTTTAGTCCTGGTTTAGTCCTGGTTTAGTCCTGGTTTGGAGTCCTGGTTTAGTCCTGGTTTAGTCCTGGTCCTGTGGAGTCCTGGTTTAGTCCTGGTTTAGTCCTGGTTTAGTCCTAGTCCTGGTTTAGTCCTGGTTTAGTCCTGGTCCCCTGGAGTCCTGGTTTAGTCCTGGTTTAGTCCTGGTCCTGTGGAGTCCTGGTTTAGTCCTGGTTTAGTCCTGGTTTAGTCCTGGTCCTGGGAGTCCTGGTTTAGTCCTGGTTTAGTCCTGGTTTAGTCCTGTTTAGTCCTGGTTTAGTCCTTGGAGTCCTGGTTTAGTCCTGGTTTAGTCCTGGTTTAGTCCTGTCCTGTGGTTTAGTCCTGGTTTAGTCCTGGTTTAGTCCTGGGTTTAGTCCTGGTTTAGTCCTGGTCCTGGTTTAGTCCTGGTTTAGTCCTGGTTTAGTCCTGGTCCTGTGGAGTCCTGGTTTAGTCCTGGTTTAGTCCTGGTTTAGTCCTGGTTTAGTCCTGGAGTCCTGGTTTAGTCCTGGTTTAGTCCTGGTCCTGTGGAGTCCTGGTTTAGTCCTGGTTTAGTCCTGGTTTAGTCCTGGTTTAGTCCTGGTTTAGTCCTGGTCCTGTGGAGTTCGCACACACGTCGCTGTTTGAACTTTTCTAATTAAAAAGATTCATCAAAATTCATCACATTCATTTTCATCAATATTCATAAAGTCAAAGTCGTCAGGATTCAGCAAACGCCACATCAAAGGCTCCAGGGGCACATCAAAGGCTCCAGGGGCACATCAAAGGCTCCCCACAGAGACCTGGACCAGGACCAGACCTGGACCAGACCAGGACCAGGACCAGGACCAGAACTGGACCGAGACCATAGCAGTATTATTAATAGAGGTAGAAGATTCAACATTTCAAATTGGATTTCGGCACTAAAGAACAGACTCCATACTCCATAGTTCTTGCTTAGTCCTGGTTCGGTCCTGGTTCGGTCCTGGTTCGGTCCTGGTTCGGTCCTGGTTCGGTCCTGGTTCGGTCCCTGGGTGTATACTAGTCTCTGTGCTTTTATACTTCTGATTCTGAGCTCTATCGAACTTTTTAGGATCCAGACCTGAGAAACATGTGGAGCAAGTTTTGATACTGGTAGTACTAGTAATACTAGTAGTAACAGTAGTAGTAGTAGTACTAGTAATAGTACTAGTAATACTAGTAGTAATAGTAGTAGTACTTGTATTAGTAGTAGTAGCAGCAGTAGTTATTACATTTACAGGGTTAGTACAAACCTGAAGGAGTTGAATCTCTCGGAGTTGCTCCTCCTCCAAACGCTTCACTTTGGCGGCGTGGGCGTCGCGCTCCTCCATCACGGCGCTCATTTCCTGTGCGGTGATGTTACTCCTGCGTTGCCGTGCCGACCGTACACGCTGCACCAGGATCTGACCAAACTGTTCCACCTGTTGGCCGGAGTCTGCGGTGCACACCTGCTCCAGCAGCTCCAGCACGTCCTGAACAACGGACGTGTGAACGTATGAGTGAACGAACGAGTGAACGTACGTGTGAACGTACGAGTGAACGTACGAGTGAACGTACGTGTGAACGTACGTGTGAACGTACGAGTGAACGTACGAGTGAACGTACGTGTGAACGTACGTGTGAACGTACGAGTGAACGTACGTGTGAACGTACGAGTGAACGTAAACGTGAACGTACGTGTGAACGTACGAGTGAACGTACGAGTGAACGTACGTGTGAACGTACGTGTGAACGTACGTGTGAACGTACGAGTGAACGTACGAGTGAACGTACGTGTGAACGTACGAGTGAACGTACGAGTGAACGTGTGAACGTACGAGTGACGTACGTGAACGTGTGACGTACGTACGAGTGAACATAAGTGTGACGTACAAGTGTACGAGTGAACATAAGTGTGAACATACAAGTGAACAAACGAGTGAACGTACGAGTGAACGTACGAGTGAACGTACGTGTGAACGTACGTGTGAACGTACGTGTGAACGTACGTGTGAACGTACGTGTACGTGTGAACGTACGTGAACGTACGAGTGAACGTAAGAGTGAACGTACGAGTGAACATACAAGTGAACGTACGTGTGAACGTACGTGTGAATACGAGTGAACGTACGTGAAACGAGTGAACGTACGTTGAACGTACGAGTGAACGAGTGAACATAAAGTGAACGTGAACGTAGTGAACGTACGTGTGAACGTACGTACGAGTGAACGTACGAGTGAACGTACGAGTGAACGTACGTGTGAACGTACGAGTGAACGTACGTGAACGTACGAGTGAACGTACGACGTACGAGTGAACATACGAGTGAACATAAGTGTGAACGTACAAGTGAACATACGAGTGAACATACGAGTGAATGTACGAGTGAACGTACAAGTGAACGTACGAGTGAACATACGAGTGAACATACAAGTGAACGTACGAGTGAACGTACGAGTGAACATACGAGTGAACATACGAGTGAACATAGGAGTGAACGTACGAGAACGACGTGTGAACGTACAAGTGAACATACGAGTGAACATACGAGTGAACATACGAGTGAACGTACGAGTGAACATACGAGTGAACATAAGTGTGAAAGTACGAGTGAACGTACAAGTGAACGTACGAGTGAACATACGAGTGACCATAAGTGTGAACGTACGAGTGAACATACGAGTGAACATAAGTGTGAACAGTACGAGTGAACGTACGAGTGAACATACGAGTGAACGTAAGTGTGAACGTACGAGTGACATGAGAACATAGGAGTGAACATAAGTGTGAACGTACAAGTGAACGTACGAGTGAACATAAGTGTGAAAGTACGAGTGAACATACGAGTGAACATAAGTGTGAACGTATGAGTGAACATAAGTGTGAACGTACGAGTGAACGTACGAGTGAACATAAGTGTGAACGTACGAGTGAACATAAGTGTGAACGTACGAGTGACATGAGAACATACGAGTGAACATAGGAGTGAACATAAGTGTGAACGTATAAGTGAACGAACGAGTGAACGTACGAGTGAACATAAGTGTGAACGTACGAGTGAACGTATGAGTGAACGTAAAAGTGAACGTACAAGTGAACATAAGTGTAAATGTACGAGTGACATGAGAACATATGAGTGAACATAAGTGTGAACGTACAAGTGAACGTACGAGTGACATGTGAACATACGAGTGAACATACAAGTGAACATAAGTGTGAACGTACGAGTGAACATACGTGTGAACGTACGAGTGAACATACGTGTGAACGTACGAGTGAACATAAGTGTGAACGTGCAAGTGAACGTACGAGTGACATGAGAACATACGAGTGAACATACGTTTGAATGTACAAGTGAACGTACAAGTGAACATACGTGTGAACGTACGAGTGAACATACGAGTGAACATACAAGTGAACATAAGTGTGAATGTACGAGTGAACATACGTGTGAATGTATGAGTGAATGTACGAGTGACATGAGGACATATGAGTGAACATACGTTTGAACGTACAAGTGAAGGTACGAGTGAACATACGAGTGAACATAAATGTGAACATACGTGTGAATGTACGAGTGACGTGTGAACGTACATGTGACGTGTGGAAGAGAAACACTCACCAGATCACAGTCCTCCACAGAGTCTGGATCCAAAGAAAACCTGCAGAGATCAAGACCAGGTTTATACCAAGACCGAGACCAGGTTTAGACCAAGACCGAGACCAGGTTAGACCAAGACCGAGACCAGGACCAGGTTTAGACCAAGACCAGGACCAGGTCTGGATCAAGACCAGGACCAGGTTTGAACCAAGACCAGCTTTAGACCTAGACCAAGACCAGACTTTTAAAAATCTTCACCATTAAAAACTCGATAATCACTGAGACAGACCCCCCTCTTTCTTTTCCTCCTTCTTTCCCTCTTTTCCTCTCCTTTCTCCTCTTTGTTTCTCTCCTCTTTCTCTCTCTCTTCCCTCTCTCTCCCTCTCTTTTTTCTCTCCCCCTCTTCTTTCTTTCCCTCCTCTCTCTCTTTTTCATATAGTGTATTTCTCATTATTGTGTTTTGATCCTCGGTCCAGTCCTCGGTCCAGAGTCTGGACTTTATTAAACCGGGTCCCTGAAGTCCGGGTTTGGATCCGAGTCCGGATCTCGGACCTGCAGCTCTGGGACAGAACTGTAATAAACTGTAATAAAGAACAGAGCCACAAGGCAATAAGACCCCACAAAGACCGGGTCTAAACCAGGCCTGAACCAGGTCTGAACCAGGTCTGAACCAGGTCTGAACCAGGTCTGAACCAGGTCTGAACCAGGTCTGAACCAGAACTAAAGACTCATCTTTAGAAATCAGATGTAAAAATCTGAAGGAGAAGATGAGGAGATGAGGAGAGAGGAAATGAGGAGAGAGGAAACGAGGAGAGAGGAGGAGACGAGGAGAGAGGAGACGAGGAGAGAGGAAACGAGGAGAGAGGAGGAGACGAGGAGAGAGGAAACGAGGAGAGAGGAGAGACGAGGAGAGAGGAGACGAGGAGAGAGGAGAGACGAGGAGAGAAGAGAGAGAGGATTTGGAGTGGATATTAGGAGATAGGTGATATAGAAAGGAGTTAAGGATTTAGGAGTGAGGAGATGAGGAGATGAGGGGATGAGGGGATAAGGACATAAGGATCTAGGAAAGAGGTTTAGTGAAATGAGAGAGGGAGAGGACTCGAAAGGAATCTACAGACGGCAGGGGGGAGGAGAGAGGAGACGAGAAGAAAGAGAAACGAAGAGGAGACGAGGAGAAAGGAGAGGAAATGAGGAGAGGAGGAGAGTGAGGAGGAGAGAAGAACTCTACATCTTCATATTAGGGCCCGACTTGACTCGTTCGGCCGGGGAGATCGTCCACGTGGGCCTTTTACAAAACAATATCGTCTATTATATCGCCTGATATATTAAACGATATATCGTCTGTTTCACCGTCTGTCCTTAAATCGGTCTCATATCGGATCCAAAAAGATCCATATCGGTCGGGCCTGGTTCATATCTGTTCTCTGATTGGCTGGGGTCATGTGACGGCGGCGGACTCACTGATTGGCTGCAGCCTGCGTCAGTCTCTGTGCTGTGAGCAGAGCCTGATCTCGCTCCTCATTGGCCAAAAGCAGCCGTGACATCATCGCCTGTTCCCGCTCTTTTTGAGCCGCCATCAGCTGTTCCACGAGCTCTGAAAACACAACGCACAAAATCAGACCCTGAATGGCAAACCCAAAGGCGTACGATCCTGGTCCTGAAGGATCCCTCAAAGGGTCCAGTCCCATCCAACTATCGGCCGATAACCTGTCTCTCCACATTGTGGAAACTCATGTCAGGCATCAGCGTGGCTGAGATAAACGGCACATGGATCAATACATGAGCGCAGCACAGAAGGGCATCGGCAAAAACACCAACTCCTGGACTGAACAGTCGCCCGTGACTGCAGAACCTGTCAGACCAACCTGTGCGCCGCCTGAATCGATTACAGAACGACTCTGACTTAATCCCACACACGGATCACTGAGAGTCTGGAGCTGTAGAACATCTCTAGGACCCTACAGGCCTTCACTGCAAACTCCAGGAGGTCATGGAAAACGACCCTTGAAACCAACGGCACTTCTACAAGTGTCCATCAAATGTGGCATATACCAAGGAGACCCACTGTCTCCACTGCTCTTCAAAATCTGTTGTTCTGTGGTGGTTCTGAGGTTCTGTAGTTTTGTGATGGTTATGTGGTTCTGTGGTGGGTCTGTGGTGGGTCTGGTGGTGGGTCTGTGGTGGTTCTGTGGTGGGTCTGTGGTTTGGTGGGTCTGGTGTGGTCTGTGGTGGTCTGTGGTGGGTCTGTGTGGGTCTGTGGGGTCTGTGGTGGGTCGTGTGGTTCTGTGTGTCTGTGGTGGTCTGTGGTGGGTCTGTGGTGGGTCTGTGGTGGTTCTGTGGTGGGTCTGTGGTGGGTCTGTGGTGGTTCTGTGGTGGGTCTGTGGTGGGTCTGTGGTGGGTCTGTGGTGGTCTGGTGTGTGGTTCTGTGGTTCTGTGGTGGTTCTGTGTGGTTCTGTGGTGGGTCTGTGGTGGGTCTGTGTCTGTGTGGTTCTGTGGTGGTTTCTGTGGTGGTGGTTCTGTGGTGGTCTGTGGTGGTCTGTGGTGGTCTGTGGTGGGTCTGTGGTGGTTCTGTGGTGGGTGGTTCTGTGGTGGGTCTGTGTGGGTCTGTGGTCTGTGGTTCTGTGGTGGTGGGTCTGTGGTGGGGTCTGTGTGTGGTCTGTGGTGGGTCTGTGGTGGGTCTGTGGTGGGTCTGTGGTGGGTCTGTGGTGGTTCTGTGGTGGGTCTGTGGTGGGTCTGTGGTGGTCTGTGGTTCTGTGTTCTGTGGTTCTGTGGTGGTTCTGTGGTGGGTCTGTGGTGGGTCTGTGGTTCTGTGGTGGTTCTGTGGTGGGTCTGTGGTGGGTCTGTGGTGGTTCTGTGTGGTTCTGTGTGGGTCTGTGTGGGTCTGTGGTTTGTGGTGGGTCTGTGGTGGTGTGGTTCTGTGGTGGTCTGTGGTGGGTTCTGTGGTGGGTCTGTGGTGGGTCTGTGGTGGGTCTGTGGTACCTGTGGTTCTGTTCCATATTTCTGAGTCGTTCTGGTTCTGTCTCAGTTGTTGGTTCAGGTCTTTTCTCTGAAGCTGTTTCTCCTTCTGCACCAACTGCTCCTGGAGCTGTGACACAAACACACGTTTCATACACAAGGATACAGGAGGACGGCCTCTCCACAGACCTGACCCTCTCCTCTCCACAGACCTGACCCTCTCCTCTCCACAGACCTGACCCTCTCCTCTCCACAGACCTCTCCTCTCCACAGACCTGACCCTCTCCTCTCCACAGACCTGACAGACCTGACCCTCTCCTCTCCACAGACCTGACCCTCTGCTCTCCACAGACCTGACCCTCTCCTCTCCACAGACCTGACCCCCTCTCCTCTCCACAGACCTGACCCTCTGCTCTCCACAGATCTGAGACTGGTCTCCATGGACACGCC